CGCTGCCAGGTGAGCATGGCTCATTCATGAGGTTTTCACTGAAGAAGATCCCGTCTCGGTACGATGACGAAAACGCCAGATCGAGGACACGAACAACTGTGGACCACCGATTCAGATCATCGGCTCTGATGAAGACAAAAACGTCGAAACGTTAGCCGAGTAAATCTGTGCATCAACTTCGTGCAAGCTCAACAATTTAAGCACTATGTGCATATATTGTTTCTGTCCATTTTTGTGCGTTAGGAGCAAGTTGTATTTTGTAAAATCAATGTGAAATAAAATCAACGTATGCGTCAGCAACCTGGTCGCTGCGTGAGCAGCGTGAAAGGTCACTCAGCGTTATCGAACGCGCAGTCGAAAGGATTATGCTAGGAGTATCCCACTCCACACAGGTAAGTGATGGGTTCCGAAGCTCCAATCTCCGTCAACGATGAAAAATCAAAGATGCCGTTCTGTACCCCAGACAGTAGAAGATAAGGTGGGCCGGACACGTAATGCGTATGAATGACAACTGATGGACAAGAGCCGTTAGTGATTGGATTCCTAGAGATGTCAAAGAAGAAAGATATGATGCTCGACGAACCCCTAGAGCGAGCTGAACTCACTGGGCTACTCTTGCACGCGATAGGAAGAAATGGAAGATTTACTGGCACCCGCTCGAGTCACTCAACGATCAACGAGACTACAGGTGATACAGGTGAAAGAGCAATCGATGTGGAACGCCTTATCCTCTTAATATCTTCCCTTCTATCACGCAGTCTCGTTGAGAACGGACTAATTTGATTAGCAACTATAAAGAGTCTAGTTCTTACGTGGTGTTCGCCATAGCTGCCCCGAAGTTGCCATTCGCTTGAAGTGTGGGAGGAAAACGTTTTTATGCCCGATTTTCTCTGTTTTGGCTGTTTCTGGGCTTACTTTTACGAAATATTATCACAATTTTTCTTAAAGTAGAAAACGCATAAAAAAAATAGAAGTGAGAAAAAACAGAATGGCTTACGAGTTATATAGACGGATCTAGAAAACACAATCATTTCTGTGTGAGGTATTCGTTTTCTCTACTTTGATCAATGAGAAGCTAAAATGCCGCATTAAAATGTAGGTGAAGCCAACCCTTAGAGTCCAAATAAAAATCTCCATGAGATCTTTACTGTTTTCTTGACTAGTATAAATGGGGTTACTACACTATTTATTTAGAACAGCCGGTGTTTAAGCGGTAAAGCAAAATTGCATAATTTGCTCCAACGGTAAGACGACGACTCTATGGGCCTGGCTACAGTGTACCTAATCTCTTGCAGAGCATGTGGGCATGCATACGCTGGCAAAACGGGTGGACCACTCTGCATCTGTTCATTAGAATATCTATTCGGTAAAGTTAGGGCTAAACCAAACATTCCACTAGACACGGATAGAACACAGAGACAAAACGGGGAAGGTTTTGAAGTAGAAGCCGTTAGCCTCGCAAGAAATCCAAAACAGCAGAGCGAAAAACTCTTGAGGCGTTTTGGATTAATCCCAAAAATCTAGAAATGAACCGCAGCGAAGACTGTCTTGTGACCACGCCTGACCTTGCCACATAGCTCAGGCTGTTTCTATGACGTGATCCAGGGACAGTCGTCGCCCATGTATTACTGTGCGGCTGCTCTCCACCAATTAGTCGGAATACTTACGAATAAAACCGTGAGTGTTTAAATGAAGCTGTTTATTATGCGAATGTAAATCTATGTGTTAAGTCTTATCTGGTAGGGTTATGGAAGTGTGCAGTCAATTTGACCTTTCCAGGCTCTGAAGAAGGCGAAACGGCCAAAACGTCAGCTATCGTGAATAAATAGTGTAATAAAAACCTCGTCTCTGCTTATTAATAGAACAGTGGGTTATTGATCAATGCCAAGGCTAATAGAAAGTTTCTATTTCATATAATTGACACAGTATTGACAGAACATTCAATCTGGCCGTTCGATTGTCGACACCACTGAACGGAAAAAGAACTGTAAATGCTCTGCAATTTTCCGTATAAAAGAGCAAAAGTTCTGATCTAAATGCCTTTCTGGAATCTTTTCTCAATTCTCACATTTAAATGTATGTATAGTAATGTTTATGTAATGTAAAATCTTAAAAGTTCTGAAAAAAGGAGAATCTGGTAGGAACACAGCAGTGATCTTTTGGAAGTGTTCCTTCTCCTCCCACAATGCTTCTCCTTTCATTCTGGATGAGAGCGTTCTCAAGTGAGATGGGTGGAATTTAGCTATGATGGGAGAGTGGAATTTACCAGTCCTCATGGTCAAGCAAGCTGAGAGGAAACTCGACATTTTCATCCGGCAAGCACGGATAAAGAAGAAATAATGTCAAGATCGAGCTATATGGACTGCTTGTTGTAAAGAAAAATGATCATGGAGTCAAAATGGGATATTCTTGAAGAATGGTGTCCCTCGAGCCATCGAGGCTACGCCGACTAGCTGCCGTCCACAGAGGCTGGAAAGGGATCAACTAATACCTGCTGAAATTCATCCGTGATTAACGAAATCAAAGGTAATGGTGACACGAATGACATTGATTGTCTCAAGTTAAATTCTTAGAAATTTAAACTCCAAAATCATATCGCAGAGCTGTCTTTATTTTGGCTTCTACTCATTCATTCAATTGCAAACTTTGTTGCTTAAATGCTCCAATCTTTATTTTTTGCCTATTCTTTAATAAAAGAGTACGTTGTGACATTTAATCACAAAGACGGGCAAAACTCGAACCTCAGGTGCTTTTCGAACCCGCGTTTACACCCTTACCGGGATCTCACGTGGTATCCACCACACCGACCGTGACCCTTATTTTGCCTTTCTCTCAGCTAAGTTTTTATTGGATACCACGTTTTTATGTGGTGGGTAGCACGTGAGCCCTTGGAAGGGCGATCACTGGTTCGAAGCGCACCTCAAGCTCCGAGCGTTGCTCACATCTCAGCATCCTTGTGCTTATCGTCTAAGTTTGAAAAGTAGGCGAAGTGAAATTCTCTTAATATATAAATGTTTACAGACGAAAATATTGTGAAGAAAATAGATAAATGTAGTAAACTGAATCCATCTGAAGCTTTAGATGAAATTACACCGGATTGGTGAAACGAATGTCGACGGCTGTTGTTAACGTTTCAACAGCCCGACCGATGAACAATCGATGAAGTATATCATATTGCGAGGAAGGTATTATCGTCAGGCGAATTTCAATGAACCATATCATTCGACCGCGATCGCCAGCTGGAGACTTCCTCCCATACGACATAAAAACATTTCACCCACTGAATGATAGAACATTATGCTTTCAAGGTGTGATGAATTTTCAAGAGCTATCTTAAAGCACCTGCGTATTAATTCCACACCCCTCCTCAATCACTTTTAATTCCTCGAAAGAAATACTTGAGCCACAAGATCAGCTATGTTTTAATAATTGAACTACATTGGCCTCCCAGCCACTATGAGGCGGTAAACCGTTGGGAGGAAAGATACATGGTAGCCTGTAGAGCATCTCTTAGAAAGGAACAAGACCAGTGATGGATAGTCTGTTTCATTTCACGGAAAACAATGAATTCGTCACCTCACTTTCAATTAAAAACGTTTCGGTGCTTTATTATGGTAGTTTAGATTATGCAGTCTTTCTAGCAGTGGTTTCACTCTCACCAATAGATTAACATATTCGAGTTAACACTGATTCTTCAACTATAGCACCATAAGGTTTGAGAACTCAGCAGAATTGTAGAAGAGGCTTTATGCGACCATTATAAATATTTTAAAGTATTATTTTTATTTGAAGCTCGTATGAAACCAAAATTTTCGAAAAAAAAAGTTGAGCAAAGATACAGATTTATAAATTCTTCGATGCAAACACCAAGATGCATTCAGAGGGACAAAGCCATGTCTGGCGGGTGCAATTTCCCTTTTTCAATCGCAGCACGATATTTGAGCAAAAGGAATCAAAAGGAGGAGCAGACGATTTGGAGAAGTAGGCAGTTAATCATGGTTAAACAAATAAGTCCGCTAAATTTGTTGCCAAACGTAAATAAATAAAGAACGATAAAGCTCTCGACGTTGATTAATCACTGAGAAATCCGCCATACATTGGACTGCATTAAACATTGCTTGGAGGTGATTGAATGCATATCTGGCCTTTACAATGACTCGCGTCAAGCTATCGAACCAGTGCTGCCAGAAAAGTCTAGGTGCCAAATTGCCGACCCCGGAGGGATGAAAGGCTTGGTTGCCCATGGGAGCGGGGATCGATTCAACGTGGGCGTTGCTGGGCGCCTTTGACCACTACGCCAACGCGCCTTTTAGTTTTAGTGTCAAACGTAAATACTAAAAATTTCTATTTCATCTGATATTGTTCACTCCGAGCTGACAAATAATTGCCTAGAGTTGGGAAGTTAAAAATTTCGCCCAAAGCATGAGAAATATATGACTCGTATTGTACAGAATGTGATTAACGTTAGTGGCACATTTCGTTCACAGCCAGTAGTTCCATTACCGCGATAACTAGCTATTATCGTACAGAGCGCTACACGTGTCAGATAGTTATGAATGTTGGTTGAAGTTGGAATCTTTGTATCGTGGAAAAGCCAGGTTCGTAGTATTTTGCAATAAGAAAAGTAACGGCTTAGAAAGAAGAAATTGCTTGAAACTCATTAAGAGGACAATTTCCTGAAGCTTTTTGCGACTAATAACTTTGATTAGGTACACCATAAAAAGAAGCGCGCGAAAAAGCAACAACTTATTCTTTTCCTTTTTCAAGCTTAGTGATGAAGACGGAGTGTTCTAACAGCTCAAAATGATAGTAGGTGATCCTCATTGATTGCCTCAATAACAAAACCGTTTTCATTGAAGCTGGACTTTTTGATTACCCAATAAACGTGAACCACTAAGCAAAAATTAACGAAATCAACTAGATGAACAAATAAAGAACAAGGTTAGACTTGACAACTTACGTATTCTGAATGAGATAACACAAAGTTGTTAACAGCGCAATTATTTTACGATGTCTGATGTTTCAGCTTCACCAAAGACGAGTACGAAGAGTTGAACGATTCTGATAGAAATGAAATCTGCCGTGTCAAAATACTCGGTTATTGCGAAGTAATTATGAAAAAGTGAAACAGTCACATGTGCGCCCATGGTCAGTGATGAAGTTCTGTGAACAGGAAGAGGGTTCTGTGAAAGAGCGATAGAGCAGTTATCAATATGAACTGGATAAATCATCACAATCGATCGACGTAATCCAGAATTCCATCCTATGCGGACACACGCGAAATCTATTGCCTGATCGGGACATGGCTGTCGGCGCAGAATGGCTGCCGTGTCGAACCATCGACCAGGTGCACAGAATGGATAGGTAGCAATGAGCCACCCTACGACAGGACGCATAAGTAGAAGGACAAATATGACACTTTCATCTAGACGAAGATTCGATTGCGTTACAGGTTCTTTCCCATTGATAGGCCACCCATCGATAACCTGATCATTCGGAAAGAAATTCATGAAGAATTCATCTTCAACAAGCCTACACTGAATTTTCTAAATTACTATCGATAAACTCCTGCTATAACCCTTCTTCCATGACTTCGCACTTCACTTAAACTTACCGCATATTGAACGAGAACACTAATAATAATGATAATGATATACAGAAAAAGAAAAGAAACGTTAGCCGAAAATAAACATCATTATCAACCTCGTGTAAGTTCATCAAAGAAAGAATACATATTGATTAGTGATACCGAGGTTCAAGGAAAGTCGGTTTCGAAATACAGAAAAAGAATTACGTCTTGGCTCACAAAGGATTTCTCTACCACCTTGTCATGGGTAAAAGGTATAATGGAGTATCGAACTGTAGATTATAACTAGAGTTCATCATGAAGTGGTGTATCCAGACTCTACTCAACTAATTCCAAAATTCCCACTGGTCTGAGGGGAAGATAATCTTAAAGTAGGAGATCTCTTTTCGACTTTATCACGATCACCGAAAGCCATAATAGAAAGTTTCAAATCTTATTTAAACATCATTTTATCAAGTAATTTTCTTCGTATTTTTGTTGAGCAAACGCGAGGTGTTATTATTCTTTGTTCACGATTAAGCTGACGTTTCG